AATAAAAAAATAAAATAAAATAAAATAGAAAAATTAAAAGAAAAAGAAAAATACCTGGAAGAGAATGAGACGGAAAGGGAGTGCCTGTAGTCCATTAGCCATTCAAAGTCGGACACTGGCAGGAAAATGATACATAGAGCAATGTACATAGGTTGAAGATGGTTTGTATCAGTCTCAACAATTAATGACTTTGCAGAGCCATACTTAACCTATTGGAATCCTCACTGTCAATGACAGAGGCACATCCACTTACGAGTATTTGAAAGTGTCTTTGCTATAATCACAGTCCTATGTTAACTAAATATATTTAGAAATCCAAATACTCTTAGAAATAATTTTAAAGTGCCATAAAATGGCATCAATCCACTAACTTCTAATCTTCACCTCACCTCTAACAAAGCTAGAAAGATAGTCTGTCCTTATCCATGAATATCATGGATCCAAAAAAAAAGAATGAACTAAAAAGAAATCTTACCCATAGCTCATTACAGATGAATGGCATTTAAAAAAAAATTGAGACGTAATTCACACATCAGAAAATTCACCTATTTAAAGTGTATAATTCAGTGAGTTTTTAATTAAGTTCCCAAGGTTGTGCAACTATACCACCATCTAACTCAAGAATATTTTCATCACCTTAAAAAGAAATCCTGTACCCATTGGCAGTCACTCCCCATTCTCTCCTCCTTACAACCCATTGTAACCATTAATCTACTATCTCTATGAATTTGCCTATTCTGGACATTTCATATAAACGGAATCAAACAACATGTGGCTTTTTGTTTCTGGCTTCTTTTACAAAGCATGTTTTTAAGATTCATCCATGTTATAACAAGTACCAGTAATTTATTCATTTTATGGTATGAAGATTATTTTATTTATTTATGAATGGCATTTAAAAATATGTTTTTGCTAGCTGTTAATTAGCCCTCAGGATTACTCAAGATTCAACTCAAGACACACTGATCTCTTGGCCCACAAAGTTATAAGTATTTTACTTTCTATCAATTTACAAATCATTGCATACATTATCATCTTCACTGTACTGTGTTCCTGTACTTTGGTAAATATTTCGTGGGCTTGCTGCCTAGCTCCACTTTTCTCTTCTCTCTAACTTCTCTATGGTTAATATGACCTGCTCTTGTCCATAGGTGACTGGTCCAGGAATAAGCATCTGATTCAAACTAGACAAATTAGGCCCTTCATCCAGAATATGGAAATGAAAATAAAAGATTGTTTTTAATTAGCTGCTCTCTTCACAGCAGAAACTAATCTCAGGAGTTTTCTGTTACCATTGTCTGTCATGTAGACTAAGAAACCAAAAAACCAGTCTGCAAGAAAAGAGGAATCAGAGAAAGAGGAGCTAGTAGAGAGAAAGAACTCCGATCACAGACAAAGAAAGGGACAGCAGAGACAAGAGACAATGCAAGAGCTCCTGGGCTCCCTTTGGTGCTCCAGGCCATTCCTAAGGCCCAGCTGCATCCCTGCCCTGGATTCCATCGGACATACTATAACTTATAGTCAATTCCCCTTACAGTTTAAGTCAGTTAAGAAGGTTTCTATAATCTCCATTCAAGGACCCTAATATAATCATCTACCCAGTAAGATTTTAATGTCTTTATTAGGGAGGGCTCAACCGCCACAGCACCCATTACAGTGACTCAAACACATACTTAATGATCACCTGTGGAATATTTTGAAAAATTACCTATAAAAAATACTCAAGACATTCTTGGATGAGTATGGGGGGTGGAATTAGGATTTCTGTCTGTTTTATTAAAAAGCTAAACTATTTTATCACAAACAATATATCTTTATACCTGTTTTATAAAAAATCATTTAATTTCCTCAGAAACTAAATTGTTTTTCTGTATTACACTACTACATGCTCATTCACATTTGCTTAGTAAATATTTTTAAATTTTTTAAAAAGCAGAAGTGTTATATTTTCCTAAGAGGATTTGAAGTTTCTTGAAAACTAGTAACCTCTACTTCCTTTTTCGGCAAACTCCACAGAACCTTCTAAAGAATACTCATACAGATTATTATTCAGAATATTCATACAGAGATATGAATAGCTGACCTCCCTGGACTCATTGTTTTCCTCCTATAAACAGGATATACTGTCAAGCACTAATAATTCCCATAAGGATAACTTACTTGTAATTAAACAACACTAAGCGCATGTAATTATTACACCATGCAGGTTGGGTAGGCAATTCCTTAATGGACAGCTTAGGAAATGCAGTTCTAGTGAGTCTGCTCTCTTGTTCCAGGTTGAGAGCTCTACTACCATCACTGCCATCTGCAAAGCTAATTCCCAGCAGATTCCTGGGAGTCATCATTCATTTTGTGGAATCCTTTTCCCAAAATCAAATCCAGGATTTGGCACCTAATTGGTTCTTAATGGGGATAACAAAGATAAAACCAAAACTCCAAAGTATTTTCTTAAATTCCTATCAAAAATTCTACAGGGATAAACAGACTAATCCTTCCAAGTCTGAGACTTGTTCCCAAGTGGATACTGTATCACACTATATAATGTCACTATCTTCCCTAAGGTATCATTACATTAAAAAAAATTATTTATTTTTATTGAAGTATAGTTGATTTACAATGTTCTATTAGTTTCAGGTGTACAGCAAAGTGAGTCAGTTATGTATATGCATATATATATTCTTTTTCAGATTCTTTTCCATAAAAGCTTATTACAAGATACTGAATATAGTTCCTGGTGCTATACAGTAGGTCCTTGTTTATCTATTTTACACACAATAGTGTATATATGTTAATCCCAAACTCCTAATTTATCCCTCCTCTGACCCTCTACCCTCTGGTAACCATAGTTTGTTTTCTGTCTGTGAGTCTATTTCCGGTTTGTAAATAAGTTCATTTGTATCATTTTTAAAAAAAATTCCACATATAAGTGAAGGATATCCCTAAATTTCAAAAATTATACCTCTAATATTACCAAGTCTTAGAGACATAATCACGTTTAAATTATTATTAAATTATTGAAGTATTCCAGTTGGGTACAACATCTTACTATATCAAGCACTGAGGCCATTTCTGATGGTTTTGACCCCTAACTTGCATCTCTGTAGCTTGAGAGAACTATGAGACCAAAGCTCTAAGAGACAAGTGCTACTTATTTACTACTGCCCCTTTCCAAAAAAATATTTTAAGCCTCTAAGTTTAAAATACAGCCCACATTAGAATTTGCTAAAGTTTCCTCAAATTCAAACTGTTAGGGCAGAAAGGGACTTTACAAATCTACTTTAGTCTAATTATTTTACTAATGAGAAAATGAGGTGGACAAGAGTTGCCCAAATTCACAAAGTAAGTTGGTAAAATCAGCATGCTTAGAACAAGGACACTCAGACTCCAGCTGGAAGCTCATTTCATCATACCTTCTACCTTAAATGTACAAGTATGGACAGTATTGAAATCTCTCTGAGAGAAACAAATCAAAAATTACAACTTTCTGCTTTCAGACATGAGGGTGACAAGTTGAGGTAATATATCTTATTTCATGGAGATATTTCTTAAATATCCTTCTGAATGTTCCAACCGGCTTGGCCTAGAGGCTAAACGAAATGAAACTGAATACCAGGTCTCTATGCAACCTGAAGATCTTTCACCACAATGAACTTTGGCAGCTGTTGTGTGTGCCCAAAGCTATCCCATCCCCCTTTTCCATTAACAAAGTCTACAGTCCCTTGACCAGAGGACGGGCATGTGTCCTAAGCCTGACTAATCAAGTATCTCACGTCACTGTTAACAGTGGTTGGTTTAAATGAGGCCAATCAGAATCCTTCCCTAGAAGTGTGACACAGATGAGAAAAATAAACTCTCGGTTTCCCACCATGTGGAGAAGGCAATCTGCAGCAGGAGAACCTAAGACCAATAATCAAATAGAAACTGAGCAGAGATGAGGGAAGGAAGAGAGTGCAGCAATGTCCAGTCTTTGGTTCTCATTCCTGAGCTGGTTCCTTTGATTTTGTGAGCTAATCCTGTATCTTTAGCAACTACAGAAGTGAGTAAATTTCTTATTTTTGCTTAAAATAACTTGAATTGGGTTTCCATCACTTGTAACTCAAAAATCCTAACATATGTTTAATCAGGACTAGATATATACATTACCCTTAATACAGAGAAATTAATAAACCATCGCTTAAAAAAATATTTCTTGGAGACTTTTAGACAGCCTGTTTCTTATACCCATCACTCCTGACATCTTACACTGACCAACTTCACTGTTTCCATTACATGCCTGGCTCCTGAGAGTATCTGAGTTTGCTAACACTTTCCTAGGATGTCCTTAGAATTTTTTTTTAAACCTAACATAAACTTGTTTCATTTGATTTCCAATGAAAGTTGAATGTAAAATATATTCCAGGTACCGTAAATTAAATGAAATTTTACTTTATCTAGAATGTCGAAAAGATAAACTAAGTATCAACATTATGCATAGCATGCTGAGGCAACTCTTCAACATTTAAAGCAAATCCAACAGAAACATGGCTACTTCAATATAATTTGGTAGCTGGTTTTTCATTAGACAACAAAAGAAATCAACAACAAATCTCAGGACCCACCTCCAATAAGGCTCCAGTTTGGAAGAATTTCAAAGGCTTTTCAATGGAATAATAAAGGCTATGATAGCTACCCTTAGCCAGGTATGCTCTGACCAGACCAACGGCTATAACGAGCCACCTAAGAAAAAGAGCAATCGGGGAAAAAAAAAAAGGTTAAGTAGGATTATAATATAAAGATATGGCAATGACAGATACTGCTAAAGGTGACCTCAAGAATCAGTGCCCTAGATTTATCAACTACTACTTTCAAATGCCAACTGTATGTAATGAACAGAAATGTTGCACCACCAACAGCACCCTGCCAAGAGTGCTTTCTGCAAAAGTACAGTGGCACCTCACCCAGCCTTTTGGCAAATTTGCCTGTTGAGAACAAGGCCAAAGGAAGGGAATAAGCTAAATTAGGTCCTTGAACAGCTAAATCAGGTGCCAGAAAGTCCAAGACAAGAGAAAAATACCACTCAGGGAAAATTTTAAACACCCTGTGCAGTTAAAAGAGTCTGTAATAACAACAGGGCGGAAGGAAGATGTTTTAAACTATTTATACAAGAATCTCACTGAAACATACCCATACTTTAAAATCTATTATTTTAAAAGATTGCAAATGACATACAAATACTTTTTTTTAAAAAAGAATACGAGGTTGTATTTTTATCTGAGTTACCCAAAATCAATTCAGTAAAGAAAGACTGATCAATATAAAACACAAAACAGGGAAGCAATTAGGCATATGGCTCAGAACGTTACGTTTCTGTTCCACTGTCCTTAAAAATTTTTCTATTCTACTGTCCTTCAAAATCAATTTCCTGAGAAATTTCATTATGGAAAAAGTTCATTATGGAACTTTTTGTTAGGTTCCATAATGAAAAAATAGGCCTTTATTAAGGTATGTCTCCTTGAAGGTGGTAATAGATTTATTTATATGTACAATCTTAACTAGGCAATGAGGTATGTGGTCTATGTTATTTCTAGAAACAAGCAAGAGTTTGTAAAAGAAGAAATTAATTCCTTAATAGTGTAACTGGTCCAGCATTAGCAGCCTCGAAAAAAAAGCTTACTTTCTTCTCACAACCCCAACTTCTCTTCCTGATGTAAGACACCACTCCTTACCCTCCGCCCCATTCTCTACGTTCATGGCTCAGAAATGAAGACTTCTTTTCCTCTTCCCTAATGTACCTTAAAATCCCTCTCCATTACAATGCTCTCATCAATGCCCTTGCTAAGATGATGAGAATTTTATTTATAAATATACAAACAGATACACACTCCTGAATATTCTTTTAAAATTATACTGCGATCGTTCAGCTGATCAAGAAAATTTGCATCTCTAATATTTCTTCATTGGCCGGTGAGTCAAGAGAAATAGGTTCTAGATCCAGAAATACTAACTGGTTCTATGACCTCAAGCAAGTCAAGTAAGTTACAACTTCTTGGAGCCTAGGTTTCAATACTGGCTATTTCTAATACTAGCAATAAAGCCTATGATCCTCTCAAGATACGTTTGTGTGTGCGTGTGTGTGTATGAAAAAAGGTGCTGAAATGCTAATATGACATTAGTATTTGTATTTTTAAAAGGGTGGTGGTGGTGATGTATACACATACTTGCTTGTATTAGTATCTGAAATATACACAAAATTATCTGCCTTCCAGGACGAGGAATTCTGGGTGGAAGGGAAGGTAAAAGGGAATATTTTTTCATTGCACACCCTTGAATATATTTTGGATTTTGCACCTGGACAATGTACTGCCTATTTAAAAAATAAATAAAACTAGATGTTCATTATATAGTTCTTTAAATTTTTGTTTGAATTTTTCATAATAAAATGTTAAGAAAAAACTTTTACAATACAATTTAAAAAGACATAACAAATAGTCTGATTCTGTAATCTTCGTCACCAAAAATCACGGGATCAAAAACTGGAAGAACTTTGGAGATCACCTGGCTCAACTCTAGTCTCTACAGGTGAAAAAAATGGAGGCCCAGAGAAATAAAATGATTTATCCAAGATCACACAGCTAGTTCGTGTCACAACTAGAACTAAAAACTCACTGTGACAAGGAATGGAATGAAATGAGGGAGAAACAAGAGGGGGTAAAATCCGTTTCCAGGGTCTATTCCCCTCCTCCCCAGTTACTCTGCCTTCCACCTGCAGTGTTTTCCCCACCCCAATCCATCCTAAAAAGTCTATAAACTCCTCTAAAGCACGCGCCTGCTCATGCCACAGGGCAAAAACTTTGAATGCGTTTCCATTACCTCTCACATTAAAGCTCAGCCTAGATTTTGAAAACAGCCGCCTCAATAAATGGTCACTTTGCAGCCAACGGTCCCTCCACTCTCTTTGCGGGGAAGATCTCGCTATTCGTGACTTGCCGCCTGGGCTCTCTGCGCTGCAGGATCGCCCTGCACACCGCCCCCAAGACCTGGCCCTGTGGCCAGACCACCTGTCGTCTTAAGGCCCTCCAGACCAGCACCTGGGCAGCCTTCCCCGATCCCTCTTGGAGCCGCGGAACTCCAGCTCGGGGCACACCCGGTGCCGGGGAACTTGCTCGACCCCCGGCACAGGAGAGAGTTCCGGGCAGGCACCTGGC